GAAAATGGATCGTAACGTCGTTAGTTGAGAAATCGTTGTTACTTCCCGTAACTGTTACGAGAGATAGCGATTACGAGTTTAGTAAACCCAGCCCCTAGTGGGGATGGGGGTAAAGGCCCCTCATTACTATGAATGTGCATCGTAATAACTAAATTACTGAAATTTCTATTTCGGTCATTCACTTTTATTCCTCCACAGTTGTCGGGTCCGATAGTGTTCGAAACAAGACGAGAGATTCCAGAAAAAAAACATGGTTTTCGCCCGGAAATCGGTGCTAAATGTCATTTCCAAATTCGCCAGCTACTGTTTTGTGTTACTAAATCGATTTTTTTCCAACAGAGTACGCATAATTTTCTAAGATATCAGAAGGAACGATTTGAATATCAGAAATTATGATAATAATAATGGTAATCATAATAATAATAATAATAACAATAACAACAGCAACAACAACAACAACAATAATAATAATAATAATAATAATAAAGAGAAATAATACATTATTTTCATTAACGACATACTGTTGGGATGTCCGTAGATGTCATGGTGATGGATAAGCAGGCAGAACCTCGATTCCATGCGGGGTTCATTATTGTTCATTGTCTTTCTAGAGTCGGCTGCCAGAGGCGTTCAAATCACAAGCATCATATAGTAGTGTATAAAACTTCTACATCTAGTATATATCTTTGTATAATCTAGATCTTTTACTTCTATAAACATTTATAAAGATATTGTATATGATGACATTAATCTATACCTGATATTATCAATATTCATAATATGAAATAGAGTCCTCTCCTCTCCTAACACATAGTTTCAAAATATCAGTGTTAAGGATTATCTGCATAAGCAGGTATGGAAATATGTTGAATAATATATATTTCAAAATATGACTAAAATAAACGATGTATACGTTGAATATTATATTTATAATAAAGATACGTATTTACTTATTTTTCTTATTATCTTACAATTTGCAGTTAATTGAAAAAAATCAGGGTAAGTAAGCACCGGAACACGGAAGTTAATCCATGCAAAGTCAAAAAGACTTGACTAACCTCTTAATATTTCCAGTCACTAAAGGGCGTAGTTCAGTTTCATTGAAAGTACAAATATATAACACTATACATGATAAAGTCAGAAATAACCGGTGATGAAAATATAATGATTTAGATATAATTCTAACACATGCCGCTATTTATTTCATTATTTCTATTTCCTCTTCCGATAAATAAACTAGTCGATGTGTTTCAAAATTCCAATTATAAATCCAAAAACGCAGGTGAGCGATGGATTTGTAGGGGATAAATTGTCCGTGAGACTGCCACTCAATTACTCAACGTAGAGAAAAAAAATGTGG